TCTGCCAATAAGCATTTTATGATAACATGGTTTCATATCACTTAAAAAAAAAGAATAAGGGAATATCACAAAAATCCACAATGAAACTGAGCATTCTTTCATTCATACACAAACATCAGACCTAGTATGATGCAGTAGAATGAGGCAAATATTTTGACAAAAGCATAACTAATGAAATCAAAGTGCATGTATGTCTTAGGGCTGCAAGGTGGCTCAGTGGTTAGCACTGTTGCCTCGCAGCAAGAAGGTTGTTGGTTCGCGTCCCGGTGGGGGCACTGGGATATTTCTGCGTTTTGCATGTTCTCTCCCGTGCAGTGTGGTTTGTCTCCGGGTTCTCCGGCTTCCTCTCACAAGTCCAAAAACATGTTGAGGTTAACTGGTGATTCTAATTTGTCTGTAGGTGTGAGTGTGCTTGGTTGTCTGTGTAGCCCTGTGATAAACTGGTGACCTGTCCAGGGTGTCCCCTGCCTTCGCCCTAAGTCAGCTGGGACAGGCTCCAGCCCACCCACGACCCTAGTGAGGATTAAGTGGTGTATAGATAATAGACGGATTGACATATGTCTTCCTGGCACATTTACATAGACAGGAATTGTCAGTAATGTTATAATTTAAGGTGATGACCTTGTCCATGGTATACCAAACCTTGTCCTCCATTCGTGGCCAAAAAAAAAACAGTTTTGCCCAACGCTTTGCATGACTTTGACTTCAAGGGCATCTATGGTCATATGGGGGAATAAGAAGACATAAAGTTTGAATTGGCTGGTGGAACCATCGTTGCAATCTTGCATAAGTGATTATGAAAGATTTAATTAATGGAAATGAAAACATATGAATATGACAGATAATATACTGTCTGTAAAAACAGTTATATTAGGATTAGTAATATTTGTGAGGAAAATCAAAATTGCCTTCTTCCACATCTTCAATGATCCCAGGATATGGCTCATTGTTATATGTGACAATACACCACTCCAGTTCAGTGACATCATCCACTGGACAGAGAATCCCATCACAACTATAACTTGATTTGGAATGACCTTGACTACCCTCTGTGGCGTTTGAAGTAGATGCTGTTGCATCACTTACAGGCTGTCCTATTGGTGCAATGCTGGTTGAGGTTGGGTTGAAATATGGACAGATGTCCTCTCTGTTGCAGAAACAGCTGAGCACTCTGTGATGGATTTTGCCAAGGGTAATGCAGATAACTTGATGAATGCTCAGTGTACCTTTGATGGTTTGCAGCCTTTTTGGCAGGAGTGCACCCACTCTGTTTATCTGCTCCTCATCCACATAAATGAGTTTAACTTTGGTAAGTGGAAGAACTGCATCATAGAGGGCTTTAGCTGTGGATATGTCAGTACACCTGGCTACCAGCAAATCCACAGTTTGCTTTATGGTGGCCCCAACACCATCAGCAGGCCCTTTGCCATGACCAGCTTCTAGGAAACTCCAGTTTACAGCACTGAATCCCATCTGGAACGGAATGGTGCTCATGAAGTAAAAGTTGTTCTTCCCTCTATATTGCATGGTTGGCCCATCACTGATGAAGAAGAGTTTTTTAACCTTTGAATAGTTCTCCTTCAAGAACTGAAGAATTGGTTCAAGTAGAGCCCAAATGGCAGCGGCATCGTGTTTCATAGATGATGACAAGACACAGAATGAAAGTGTACCATTTGTGGTGTACACAACAGCATTGTGCAGTGTTGTTTGTCTGTGGGATGCTCCAAAGTGGACTTGCTGCACCTCCTTTGCATATTTGCACAGCCAATTTTCAGCATAGTCAATGTGAAGAATGGCTTCATCTTCCTTTTGGGATTTGTTCAAGTACTGTAGCTGTGTTTACTGATGACTGATGTTAAAGAGATGCTTCCACACTTTGGTTTTCATTTCTTTTTCAAAATATTCCAAAAGGTGCTCTGGATTGCCCTCACATCTCTGTTTCACAGTTTTTGTAACAGTAATGCTTTCCTTTTCCCCATTCTTGTCTTTTTCGTAGTCCTCTTTCTTTGTGAGCCACTGGTACCACCATGTGAGCCCTGTCCTAGATGTACTAGTGGTGTGTGGGAGGGACTTGTTCATACATGAGAGACATTCTCTGTACATACAAGCTTTTGTTTGTGTGTCACAGCATAAGTCTTCTGCCACTTTGTTCAAGTTCTGCGAGTTAATAATTCCAAGCTACTTGAGTCTGTCTGCTTTCATTTGAGCATTGTCATGCACGTTGCAGACATGTGTCTCCCTGTTGTTAATGTTAGGGGCAACGATCCAAAAAGGTTTCATCCTGCAGAAAAGTGAATAAGAAAGCCTCAGATGAGGCATCTCCAGCATCAGTTTATTGTACAAGTTGAGCATTGTGTCAGAAAGGAACCTCTTTTGTTTCTTCTGTCTGAATTTTGTTGTTATTTCATTTTTTTGTGCTGTTGTTTGACTGTTGTCATCTCGGCTTAAGAACATTTGAACTGTGTTCATTGTCTTTTGACTAACATTTCTATGACAGGTGGACCTATCATTTTGTTTGTCTGCAGTTTTGTTGAACTGTTTGTAAGAGACACCAAGAGCTTTTCAGGCCATGGAAACAAGTCTGTATTTTCAAAGTAGCCTGGCTGAGACAGCACTTTGTTATGTATGTTTCTTCTTATAGCTTGGGGTATTTTTCCTGAATATGGTGCATAAGCGTGTTATGAAAAACAAGGGTCTTTCTGATATCAGCTGGTACTTTCTTCTTTGATAATTCCCTCAGAGTCTTAGTTCTTGGGGATTATTCTGACAGATCTGTTTTCAACCTTAATTTCAACTCTGACACTTTTATATATATATATATATATATACATACTTTTCCTCCCTCTTCTTCAATTCCTTGATCTTCACCTCTAATTTCTTTATTTTTCTATAGTTGCATATTCTGGCCCTCACACCTGAAAGCCTAAACATTGGTGTGTAGACCCTGGTTGTAGTGCTGCTGTTGGCTCTTGTATCAGCCCTGGTGTTTGATCACCCTCACTGGAGGTTCTAGGTGGTGTTGAAGCCAGGTGAAATTTCTCTGTCGCTTTTTGTGTTTTCACAAATCTCCTGCGATCTTCTTGTCTTTTCCTCCACTGTACCCTGAGCCTTCTTTTCTCTTTATCTGATAATTCACTGATAGGTTTAAGCTTTCCTTCTTCTTTGCATTTATGATTTGTTTCTCTTTCCTTTTTTATATATTCTTGGTATTTCAGTGGGTCATTTATCAGTCATTCCCTGTACTCCCTCTGCCCCATTTTTTCTTTTTTGGTAGGCATTTTTATGTTTTATATCTTCCTGGAAAAAATACATGATGAAATAGAAATGGGAATTGTCTATATGTCATAATAAATGAAATATGTGAAATTAAATGTATTCTTTTGTCTCAAAATAAATGACATTAATTAATTTTGTCATTACCGAAACCATCAGGTCACAGCCGTAACTTTACCACATGTTACGGTAGTGACTGTTTTGGTAGTGATAATTTTAGCAAATTCTCAACAAAACTCAGAAATGCTAGGCTAAAAATGGCTAGCAATTACAGGTTTGAGAAGGTATCTATGCATTAAAACTTAACATTTACAAATAAAAACAAAAATATGCATATATTTGAAGAAATTACGTGCTTGGTAGTGACAGTCTTTCAAAAAAAAAAAAAAAACACTTAGATTTTCAGACTTTGCAACACAATTACTAAAAATCTGTACTACCTCTACACTCACCCTGTGGCCAGTAGAGACAGAAAGTCTGTCTTCATTGTTTGTTAAAATTTGGTCTAAGTGGCTGAAAACAGGCTCTTCTTATGGACCGTAACTTATCTTGTTTTGGTAATGACATGAAAACATGGGGCAGTTTTTTTGACTTATGTTTGTTGAATTCACACACAAAAAAAACTTAAAATCAATTTTAATATTTCAACTTCCCTTTAAAATATACCAAAAAGATACATAAATAAACACACTTCTAAAAAATACCAAAAAAAAAAATTCCTTTAAATAATATTTTCATCCATTGAAATTTAGGTGTTAGAGGTTGGGACAGCCACTTCTGAATACAACGTCATAAAGAGGAGAACATTTTATATATCTACTGTAATGCTATCTTAACTCATGCTTTTGGATTAAACAGATTTGAACATGACATTAATAAACATCAAAGGTCTGAATATTTAATTGTTTTTAAAATGTGTTTTTTAGTATGCGACTGCAATCTGAACCAATTTGGTAGAATGGCCCAGCAGTGTGTTGACAGGGCCAGTCTATTACTCCTGCTAGTACTACTAATGGTGATATCTGTACAATATCAACAGAAGCCAACACACACACACACACACACACACACACACACACACATATATATTATTCAACTGTTGCTGCTGTAACACTGCAATATTTCCTCACTGTGGGATCAATAAAGGCTTATCCTATTTTTTAAAATTACTTTAAAACAAAAAAACAGAAAAATAGTAATTTTGGGGGACATACCGGCTCAATGAGCACAGGGAAAGTACTCCACACTTGCAAGTGAGATAGCATTAAAGCTGCTAAGCTGACAATCAGCTGAAGGACCCTTGAATGAAACCCTGGATCTATTCCAGAGGGCTCCAGGGGCACCAAGGCCTTCAGGGCTGCTGCTTTGTGGGTCCCAACCTCTTATTTTGAAGCGGTGCCGGCTATAGTGCCTCTGTAACAGCATTCATGTCTCTGAGCTGCACTGTGAAAAGTAGAGTTTTAGTGGAGCTGCAGTGCAAACAGAGGACAGTGCAAGGGTTAAAGCCCTGCTACCGTGTTACCATGGAGATCAGAACAGCGGTCACCACTTGACAGGAGCAAGGAGGAGGGGGGCTGTTGATTGACAGTGAAGGAGGCGGGGCCGTACACAATACTCGCTTTTCATTGGACAACTCTGCGTCACGTTGCCAGTTTGGAATGCAAATGAAAAAGAGTGGCTTCGGCCCACCTCGACTCCGCTCTGCCGCCGCCGCCGCCGCTCTGCTCCGAGCCTGTTGGGCGCAGCGAGCCACCGTCCAGAAATGGTGTAGGATATCAAGAGCAACACCGAGGAAGAGCGGCCAAAACGAGGAGCGAGGCTTCGAGGTTTACGAAAACAGTAAGGCGACGCATACTTTGCTTTACGGAGTGTCACGGTCGGTACGAGGGTCAGTGTTGGTGTTTGTGTATGTGTCGGAACGCGTGAGGTTAATCGGTCGCACAAGCTAACGTCTCCCCGGGGCCCCAAAACAGCAGCAGCAGCAGCAGCAGCAGCAGCATTTGTTTCTAGCTTGCTTGCTAACGTTGCTGTTAGTTTAACGGCGAAGTTTAGTTTGCAAAGACTATGAATATACGTAGTTTCAAAATAGCATCATGGTGAAGGATAACAACCCTACTGGAGCTAACGTTAGCCGCTATTGTAATGGAATCCAGTACCAGCAAGAATGGTAAAAAAAAAAAAAATTGCCATCATCAATGAAAATTAGCGCAGGAACGAAACGTTTAAATGTAATCCTCTGGGCAGCAGTGACATCTCCTCTAGTTAGGATTGTGTCATTACTTCAAAAATGTTGGCTAAAGTTAGCTCGGAGCTTACTTGAGGAACTTTGGTGCCATTGGTCCTGACCTTTGGCACAGAGGAGGAGCTCGTTATTTTGACAAGTGAAGGTCAACACTGAGAATGGCCCCTCAGTGTAGTACCACACAGAGAGAGATGGATAAACTACTTGCTTAATCCCAAAGGGGAACTGCAGTGTTACAGCAGCCACCAATGGGGCAATAAACAATGAATATAAATGCTAAACACCTGTATAGTATCCATATACACTAAATAGATATTTCCAAATAACTAATCACTCTATTTTTCTTTTGGTCTCCAAAGCAGATTTTAACCTGAGAGCTGCCCTAACTGGAAATCTATACAAAACAAAATAAAACAAAACACCCACCATGATCTGTCCAATAAATCAAGAGCAAGCGGGTGTCACCAAACATTTGTAAAGCCAGGCTGCTGCTGCAACTTGCACAAACCTGCTTGGATGCCAGACCAGTACATTTTAAGCTCTTTAAATAGGTTACAAAGTAATGCAATGGACTAAAAAGTGTATTTAATGCATCAGAATTTACAGCTACAGGTTTCCTGACTACAGTTGTTGCTGTTAGCTGTCAACTGTTGTTGTTGTGTATCTTCATTGGTCAGTGTAAGTGGACACAGTTTCCACATGTGTCTTTTTTGTATTTAACTATGTTATTCATTTTTCAAAATGTCAGACAGTTAATGGCAAGAGTAGGCTGTGGTTAATGTACTTTGGTTTGAAGGTTATTGTGCGTTTAATTAGCAAGCGTTCCCAAAAGCTAATTAGGGAAGACAGTGACTTCACAAGGTGGTGCAAAATAAAGTAAAACCAATGAAGGGTGTAAACCTATAGGGGACTGCATGACAACACCTAAGATTGAATAAATTTATACATGTTTAGCTTGCAGTGAATCTTGTGTTTATATTTCCTTGCCAATGTTACTACTCTTCAGATAAAGCCCATTTTGCCCATGGGTACCCCTGCTCCTGAGCACATAATGGTTGGCTATGGTACACACCTCCTCCTCATTATCTGCACTTAGAAGGGTCAGATCATGCTCAGTAATTTGCTTATTTTAAGAATAAAAAGCAGCAGCAGGCTCAGTGAAGAAGCTCATAGATTTTCTTCTAGGCTACTGAGGTTAATTGCAGGGAGATGGACGCTTTATCCGCTTAAAAGCATGGCAAGCTGTTATTATGGAATAGAGTGATTCCTTTTAAAACCGGAGATCACATACCCAGGAAAAATCAGCTAGATATAATTGCGTCCATTCTTATTCCTGACATTTGATCTGATACGGTAAGGTGTTATTCAAATTAATTGTTCTATGCTATTTACGTGAGTGTCATGAAAAGGCTGATTTGTTTATTTCACAAGAGAAATAGAGCCACACATCAATCCCATGTTTTGTTTAGACATGATCATTTACATGTGAGATAACCCCAGTGCTCCCTCAGCTATACACACTTCACATTCACTTGCCTCTTGTACTATCTCCAATTGGAGATCATCATAAATTGTCTAACTGATGTATTTATGAAGCGCAAATATTTAAACTTATCTTTTTGCTACGCAAAAATAGCATACCTGGAAATGCTTTCTTTTGACTCACTAGATGTATGCAAGATGCTTCTAAAAGCAACAGCTTTTAGAAGCATCCATTTTCCATTTGTAGTCACTAAAATGTTAGCAGTAAGTGTGCATTAGATCAGAAAATGCTTAGTAAAAGTGCTGTTGTCAATAATGGCATCCAAATGAAGAGCATGCTTGATATACAATTAAAGCAGGGATTTTCAGTCATGCTTGTCATACCTGCACAGCACAGTGGTAGGGCTGCATGTATAGAGTCATTTTGCTTTGCATTAAAATAGTAAATGTCTGACGACATATCAACCAAGGTCTAAGGCTGCTGCAATCCAGTATACATCTCAGGGAACAGACAGATTATGAGGTTGACTTTTTTGTCCTCTTAGACAAAAGACTTTACTAAGGCTATCAGGATGTGGCATATTTAGTATGAGAAAAAATGCACAAATGAAAAGAGAACTTTTAATAATTTTTAATCTCTTAAAATAACAAGTCTCTGTCATTTTGACCCCCAGTAATCTAGTCCATACGGATAATAAAGGAAATACGCACACAGTTAGGCTCCCCAAGCTGCTTGAAAGTTATGAGTTCAGTGAGCAATGGGCTTCTACGTTATCCTTTGGATAAGTTGTGCTTTTGATGTCTAGCCAGTCCACTGCTGGCACTGATACAAATTTAAAGAAGTTGTTTCAAATGAAGGCAATGAAGCACTACATTTCTGTGTGCTGCTGCTCATCCTGGCTCATACCTGACCTATTTTTTTTTCTCTTGGTGTGAAAGACGCCTGAGAGTGATGCCTTAGAGACTGCTTTGATTGAAAAGTCTGGATTGAAGTGTGCTGCTAATCTGCGAGCTTTGCCAGAACTATTTAACTGTGATATTTATAGATCAGAGGGAGAATCTTTCATTCCTCAGTACTGCTGTGCCCCCTCTCAGTCTGTCTCTGTGCCTTTTGGTCTGCCTCTCCGGGGTTTATTTTGAGAAGTATTAACAGTCCAAGCAGTTTTTTTAGCATCTAGTGGAGCATTTTGCACCTTACAGGCTAAGGCCGCACTAAATGAAGCTAAACAGAAAAAGGGCAGGGGCCTCTAGGGAGAGTCAAGTGTAAGTGTTTTGTATCTTCACAGCATGAGGCTACATGTACTGGAATTGCACACACGCTCAACACACTTAACCTGGAAAGCAGCCAGAGTCTCTTTGTGCTGGTCTACTCAGCTGTGGAAGGCAAGGTCCGACTGAGTCAGATGGCTCAATTACGGATACCCGACCAATCTTGCCTCAGGATCAGAGGGTATCTCTGTCTTACACACTCTAACAATGGCATTGCCCTGCTTACTCTGTTTGGACAAGACCCATCGACAATCATCAGCCTCAGGGGATGATCCCAACATCACCAAAGAGTTCTCCAAGGAAATGCTGCTGTGTAGAGCACAGGATGTAGAATCTGAGTTTAGTATGTCAAATTCATCTCTGAGACAGCTTGTATTGTTGAGATTGTTAAGAATTGTTAATTGTAGTTATTGTTAAGATGGTATTTTGACTTCTGTTGTGTTCTTTATGAATTCGACTTGTAGTCTTCTATGCCCTCACTGTAACTATATTGTGTGGAAATTAGCTGTTGTTTTGTCATGTAAGCTCTGTCCTAACTACCTTTTAACTCTTTCTTGTTTGTTTTGTTTTATATTAATTTTTCAAACTGGATAGTTCAACGTAATGAGCACAGTTGAATTACAGCTTGTGTAGGGTGACGGCTTGTGATTTTATTATCCATCCATCCATCCATCCATTATCTATACACCGCTTAATCCTCACTAGGGTCGCGGGGGGGCTGGAGCCTAGCCCAGCCGACTTAGGGCGAAGGCAGGGGACACCCTGGACAGGTCGCCAGTCTATCACAGGGCCACACTTAGAGACAGACAACCAAGCACACTCACGTTCACACCTACGGACAATTTAGAATCACCAATTAACCTCAAGATGTTTTTGGACTGTGTGGGAGGAAGCCGGAGAACCTGGAAAGAACCCACGCTACACGGGGAGAACACGCAGAAAGATTCCGGTGCCCCCACCGGGATGCAAACCAGAAACCTTCTTGCTGCGCGGCAACAGTGCTAACCAGCTGCACCACCCTGCAGCCCGATTTTATTCTTATTATTATTTAAATTTTTTTTTTTACATAACTAGATAATCTAACAAAAAATTAACTCCACAATTTCCCAAATTCAAAAGTTATGCCTTTAAGTTGCTTGTTTTCTCTGACCAACAATTCAAATCCCCAAAGTATTCACTTTACAATAATACATAACAGAGAAATAAGCAGCTAATCATCCCATTTTAGATGCTTGAACTAGTGAGGAAAAGACTTCAGAAAGAAGATTATTCACTAGCAGAACTGTTGACTAATTTTCTGTAATCCTGCCATCAATAAAGGATGACAGTCTTCCACTTAGAGTGTGCATTTTCTTAAAACATCTTAACCAGCTTGAACTCTGTTCATAAAAATTAATTTGTCTGACAGGCAGATGCTACATCTCCCCTGTGTGAAATAAGTAGGCACTTCTTACCAAAAATAATTGAAGACAGACATAGACAAGCCCTTCAATGAATATATTAAAACCTTGAGGGCATGAGCTGATTTGCTGTTTTAAGGGCCTGCTATGTTTAATGAATTGTCTCAGGTTATTTTTGTCCATATTGTTTAGCAGCTCATAGCTTGTTTTGTCATTTCAAATTTGAATGATAAATCATAATAAGTATGGAGTCCATATATATTGTCAAGCAAACTTTTTAGTATATTGCCTGGCAAAGTCTTTGATGTAAGCATCTGAAAACAAGGCTCATATGGTGCCTAGATCATTTATTTTTATGCTGCTCCCCAGAAGAGCTTGTTAGGCATCAGTGTTCTTGAAATTGATAATGAGCTTGAATGTCCTTTGAGCAAAAGGCGGGGTTTGTT